GCCTCTGTGTGCTTCAGAAGAATCCAGCCATCTGCTGTATGGCCTGACATTTTCCTTTAGTTTGTGGTGGGCCAACAGAAGTCTGTTGCCAACTGTTTTCTGTCCTGGGTGCCCAGCCAGAGGCTCTGAAAGTCTGGAGACTTTATATTGACTAAACTTTAGGAACGTCAATTATATGTCCACCTCCAAGATGCCTTCTCTTAGTCAGGTGCAGCTCATTGTTTCCGAGCTACACTTAATATTCTTAAGCAAAACCTAAACTGACATTTCTCCAGCAATGCTCTCCTTGATAGAAATGGGAAAGGTAAGAGCAAAAGGAATCTTTTGTTCTCATGTACATACACTAACTCATAGAAGGTTAATTCTTCTATAGCCTGTGCTATTATAACAAGTATTTATATATTTGTGATATAGTTCCTTAAAGAAAACAAAAGCAATATAGACATCTAAACTGTCACTGGCTTATTAAGTGTCAGTGCCAGAGCCTAGGAGAAATAAGGAGCCTGTGAATCCCTTATTCGAATCTAACCAGAGCTGCTGTGTTTGAGAGCAAGTTTTAAAAGACTGTATGTAATACTAAGTTTATTCATCTTTCACACTGAGTCCCAGCATCACCAGATCAGTATTTGATGCCTGGATCAGTCTTTATTCTGGGGAGTGATGAAGCACTGAACCTGCTATGTGTGTAGTCTGCCAAATGTCGGCATGTGCTCCTTGCAGCCCAGGCATCCTGCATGTAAGGAATACGTGCGTTCTCACCAGCCTCATCTACTTACCTCCACATTTAGCCAGATTCTGCGTATTAACATCTGCTGGGAAAGAGCATCACTACAGTAGCTGCAAATAAGGTGAAGGAAGCAAAGTATTTTTCTGACAAGTACTTAAAGAATAGATGTGTAAATTTCTATAAACAAAAGTCTTAAAGGAAAATGAAAAATTTTTACATTTAAATAACTACATAAATCATTGTCTAATTTTAATAAGAATATAACTTAATATAACTTGAATGGAGAAAAGGATGACTTGCAGTCAGGGAAAGTATTAAGAAATAATATGCTCAGGCTGGGCGCGGTGGTTCAATGCCTGTAATCCCAGCACTTTGGGAGGCCGAGGCGGGCGGATCACGAGGTCGGGAGATCGAGACCATCCTGGCTAACACGGTGAAACCCCCTCTCTACTAAAAATACAAAAAATTAGCCAGGAGTGATGGCGGGCGCCTGTAGTCCCAGCTACTCGGGAGGCTGAAGCAGGAGAATGGCATGAACCAGGAAGCAGATCTTGCAGTGAGCCAAGATCGCACCACTGCACTCCAGCCTGGGCCACAGAGCGAGACTCCGTCTCAAAAAAGAAAAAAGAAAGAAAGAAATAGTATGCTCAAAATATATAGTAATAAGTTGGAAACTTTTACTTGAATAATTTTTTATAAAACTGGCCAGAGAACAAAAATGTGAAGAGGCCAAGTTCCAGGAATCATGTTACATATTGTTCTAAAACAACATAAGCACTTAACAAAGTTGAAAAGTTAACAAAGCCAAGTACTGTACTAGGCTTCTAACATTCACTAAGTATAAAATTCTACAGAGCTGGTTTTCTTATCTTTAAAGAAAGTTGTTGGCAAGTGGTACTGGTGTTAAAGAAAAAAAAAGGGGCCGGGCGCGGTGGCTCAAGCCTGTAATCCCAGCACTTTGGGAGGCCGAGCAGGAGGATCACGAGGTCAGGAGATTGAGACCATCCTGGCTAACACGGTGAAACCCTGTCTGTACTAAAAATACAAAAAACTAGCCGGGCGAGGTGGCAGGCGCCTGTAGTCCCAGCTACTCGGGAGGCTGAGGCAGGAGAATGGCGTAAACCTGGGAGGCAGAGCTTGCAGTGAGCTGAGATCCGGCCACTGCACTCCAGCCTGGGTGACAGAGTGAGACTCCGTCTCAAAAAAAAAAAAAAAAAAAAAAAGGAAATATGTACCGACCAAAATAGAAAAAAAAAATATGAAGCACATTAAAAGAAAAAATATATATTCCTGAAAACCTTGTATAATTACAGTGGCATGGTTGGGAATGTTTGGTCTATAGTTTTAACAATTAAATCCATTGAATCTGGCCCCGTACCATCCTAAAGTTTTATTCTAGATTCTCTGGAGTTTGTGATTATAGATATGTTTCTAAGATTTAAATAACTTTCCATGTTTATCTCCTTTTATGTTTGTACATAGAATAAAAATGTTTCTATTGTTAAGAATATTAGGGTTGTATGCAGTGGTTCACGCCTGTAATCCCAGCACTTTGGGAGACCAAAGCAAGTAGTTTGTTTGAGCCCAGGAGTTCAAGAATGGCCTGGGCAACATAGTAAGACCCCATCTCTACAAAAAATAAAAAATTAGCTGGGCATAATGGCATGTCCCACCTACTTGGGAGACTGAAGTGGGAGGATCACTTGGACCCCAGGAGGTTGAGGCTGCAGTGAGCTGTGATCGCACCACTGCATTCCAGTCTGGGTAACAAAGTGAGACCTGTTTCAAAAATAAAAAATAAAAAATTGGGGTTTATCTACTTAGATTTTCAATACAAACAACTACTTAAATCTTTACCTACTTGTTAATTTCAAACCCTTTTCTACATTTTGATTTATCTTTAGATCTCTTTTTGTCTCAATAAATGGGAAGTATCAGGAAGTCTTTTTACTTGCTCAAGGTCAGAGAGAGCTTAGAACCTGATAGTGTCCCTCTGAGCCCCAGTTCTTTCCAACCTGCCAGGCTGTGGGCCCAGCAATTACTCACCGCTAAGAAGTTATGCTTGTGCAGTCATGGAAGTTGCATTGGAGAAAAGGATATTTAACTGGCAAATAAAAATCAGGAGAATGGGAGATTTTGTTCTTTAGAAATGCTAGTGTGAAGTGGTAGGCTTATTTTTCAAATGGTCAACTGGTATTCTTTTTTTTTTTCTTTCTTTTTTTTTTTTTTGAGACGGAGTCTTGCTCTGTCACCCAGGCTGGAGTGCAGTGGCACGATCTCAGTTTACTGCAAGCTCCGCCTCCCGGGTTCACACCATTCTCCTGCCTCAGCCTCCTGAGTAGCTGGGACTACAGGCGCCCGCCACCACGCCTGGCTAACTTTTTTTTTTTTTTTTTTTGTATTTTTAGTAGAAACGGGGTTTCACCGTGTTAGCCAGGATGGTCTTGATCTCCTGACCTCCTGATCCACCCGCCTCGGCCTCCCAAAGTGCTGGGAATTACAGGCCTGAGCCACCGCGTCCAGCCGGCCAACTCATATTCTTAAACTAATCATAATTTTACCATAAGACCATATTTTAGTGATTGAAGAAAAAAATGTACCAAACTGTATGATATGATGGTGTTAAAAATAACTCACCCAATATGAAACATTTTTCAAGAGCATGTTTCCTATTTTGATGTCAGTGGACCACTTGTGGTAAAGTTGTGAAAACCAACACTCCTGAATTCCACCCAGAACTCACACTTTGCACCTTCAGAGACCCTCAGATTGTGAGTGGCTGCCCTGAGGCGTACTACCAACCTCCGGCTTTTGTAGGTCTATGGAAAAACAGAACCGATGAAGACAGAGATGCATACAGCTGTTTTATCTGGTCTCTCCTTCCTCCCCAGCCTCACTGTTATTGGAGGGCACTTTCCAGGCACAGTTCTGTTCACGGCCTGCTGCTGCCCACGTGGACCATGGGTTCCGGGATGGCTCCATCTTCTGTGCTTTGGGCACATTACTTAACCTCTCCCGGCATCGCTATCTTCATCAGAGATAACATTAGTAACCACCTCATAAAGTCGTTATGAGGATCACCAGTGAGATAATCAATGTAAAGCTTACAACAGTGCTTGGCACTTAGTAAACACTAAATAAATGATAGTTGCTATTATATGGATACTTTTAAAAAACCTGATACTTTTAAAAACATTTTTTCTGCTGACTAGTGAATTGTTCAGTTTTACAATGTTCTGTGCCTTTAAAGTTATTAAATTAACTGTTTCCTCCTTTTTTGTACCCACCATACTTTGAATATATAACTACGGCAGCATATAAACACTTCATTTGCACTTACGTATTTAAATGTCCATCTTTCCATAACCCAAGGATAGGAACGAAGTCTTACTCATTGTTGAAATCTCTAGTACATAGCACAGTGCCTACCAAATAGTAGGCAAAATCAGGTGTTCGATTCTATTAACTACTCTAACACTGAAATGAAAGTGTTCAATGGCTCAAAATAAGTATAATAAGCCTTAACTCTGGGTGCTTAAATTTATCTATAATGTCTGCCAGTGAAGTATATATAGTTTTAAAGGTTAAAAAAAATCAAGTGTTTAATGAATTCGAGCTGATTGAGCACTGACCAGATACAGGATCCTTAAACTTCATAATATCTAGTCCAAAGATGATTTTTTTTTTTTTTGGTACAGATTCTGACTTCAAGGGGTTTGCAGGCTGGGAGGGCAAGTAATATATAAAAAGTCATTTTTGGCTGGGCGGTGTGGCTCATGCCTGTAATCCTAGCACTTTGGGAGGCTGAGGCAGGCAGATCACTTGAGGTCAGGAGTTCAAGACCAGCCTGGCCAACATAGTGAAGCCCCGTCTCTACTAAAAATACAAAAATTAGCCAGACGCGGTGGTGCTTGCCTGTAGTCCCAGCTACTCAGGAGGCTAAGGCAGAAGAATTGCTTGAACCTGGAAAGTGGAGGTTGTAATGAGCCGAGATCACACCACTGCACTCCAGCGTGGGCAACAGAGAGAGACTCCGGCTCAAAACACAAAGTTATTTTCTTCTTGTCCCTTAGTGGAAATATTAAGAAAGTGCTAGGGGAACTCGAAGGAGATGATTATAGGAGTTGATTATGTATGTAAAATCAAAGTAAATGGGGCAGTGGCAGGGGGGAAAAAGGGGAACCAGTAGTGACTTAGAAGTCCTAAGCATGTTGCATGGTAATTGTGACATTCACTTCCTGCGAGTGAGCTGACATTGTGGTGTCCGTCCTAGGTACTCTCCTTTTTCTTCATTGGTCTGATGTCCATGATGATTCCTCTGTGTAGCATCTTTGGGGCCCTCATTGCTGTGTGTCTCATCATGGGTCTCTTCGATGGATGCTTCATTTCCATTATGGCTCCCATAGCCTTTGAGTTGGTTGGTGCCCAGGATGTCTCCCAAGCAATTGGATTTCTGCTCGGATTTATGTCTATACCCATGACTGTTGGCCCACCCATTGCAGGTAAATATAATGATTCTCCAGTAATTATATTAAGTCATAGTATTTTCTACTTCAGGTCTTAATTTAAGTCTCACTTATATTTAAAACGTATTACAGGTTATTGATTACTGGTCTTTTGCTTTCATGTGTGCCTTACTGGTAACATTTTTAATAAGACTAGCTATAAACGGTATGTTGAAAAGGTTTGCTGAAAAGTCCCTCTTATCCTTACTGGCAGCTAAAACACTGAATAAAATATGTAACAGTAGGCCAGGCTCAGTGACTCACACCTGCAATAGCAGCACTCTGGGAGGCTGAGGCGGGAAAATCACCTGAGCTCAGGAGCTTGAGACCAGCCTGGGCAACATAGTGAGATACTATCTGTACAAAAAATAAAAAATAAAAACATTAGCCAAGCATAGTGGCATGCATCTGCAGTCCCAGATGCATAGGAGGCTGAGGTGGGAGGATTGCTTGAACCCAGAGGTCAAGGCTGCAGTGAGCTGTGATGATACCACTGTACCCCAGCCTGGGCAAAACCCTATTTAAAAAAAAAAAAAAAAAAGACATGAAGATTCTGGAAGATTTCTAAATATGTCAGCTTTTGGTAAGAGATCGTACATCCCCCTGAGGAGTAGCTGATGAAAAATAACATAATAGAAAAAACCCAAATGCCCATAAATAGCTAATTGGGTAAGCAAAATGTGGAATATCTATAGTGCAATATTATTCAGCCATAAAAAGGAGTAAGGTACAGAACTGATGCTACCAGGTGAATGGACCTCAAGAACATTATACTAAGTGAAAGAAGCCAGACATAGAAGGTGACGTGGCTGGGCATGGTGGCTCACACCTGTAATCCCAGCACTTTGAGAGGCCAAGGCAGGAGGATCATTTGAGCTCAGGAGTTCCAGACTAGCTTGGGCAACATAGCAAGACCTTGTCTCTACGAAAAATAAAAAAAATTAGCCTGGCGTGGTGGCACATACTAATAGTAGTGTAATCTCACCTACTCCAGAGGTGGAGATGAGAGAATCTCTTGCGCCTGGGAGATCAAGTCTGCAGAGCCGTGAGAGCACCACTGCACTCCAGCCTGGGTGACAGAGTGAGACCCTGTCTCACTCTAAAAGGCTGTATATCGTATGATTTATTTCATGTGAAATGTCCAAAATAGGTAAATAAATACAGATAGAAAACAGATTGGTGATTGCCAGGGGCTGGAGAGAAAGAGGATTGGGAAGTAACTACTTAATTGGGATGAAGTGTCCTTTTGGCACGATGAAAATATTTTAGAATAGAAGCGGTGGGTGTACAACATTGTGTATGTGCTAAATGCCGCTGAATTGTTCACTTTCAAATGGTTAATTCTATCTCATGTGAATTCCACCTCTAGAAATTCTCTGAATGATACTATAAAGGTGTCTCATGTTCAGTATTACTTGGGTGCCTGTGTCAATTAGTATTAGAAGATTCAATATAAATATGATAAAATGTAAATGTATGTACTGTCATCTGTGTTTGGCACATGAGACGCTCAGTGAAGGTTTAGCTCAATGCATTCTTATATCCTGAGCTGCATTCCTAGTCATGAATCAAGCAAGCAGAGTTACTACTGAGCAGACCACATACAGTTTAAGTTCAAAAAGTCATGGTCTCCCTATAGGAGAACCCTCCGTTCCTTCTTCTCTCCCGCAGGTAATATACTGTTTACTCTTCTTTTTATAACCTACAAGCTTAGTTTTACAGTTTCTAAGTCCACAACAGATTTTATATAAGCAGCACTCTAGTAGTAAATAGTTTTGCTACCAGAAGTGACAGTTAACAGAGCAAGAATAAGGGAGGTAACAGGAAACTTCGGAAGCAGGCAGAGCACCACTACACAGCAACTGGCAGCAGAAAGCTGCTGGCTCACCAGGAGGCTCTGAGGGCATCATAGTGTCACAGCAGAGCATAATCATGAGTGTTCATAAGGAGGAAGAGTTCAGTTATGTATGAAATGGTCTGATTCCAAAGATAGAAAACTTGTGCATTTACAGATATTGTCTATTTTATTTATGCAGAATGGATATACACATTTTTATGTGTTGGTACTTAGACAAATGGTCAGCTATTTATTTAGCAAAGTCAGATAGATATTTAGTACAGTATGTTTCCTGGACATTTTAGATAACTTAGGTTGTATAAGTTATAAAAGTTTTAAAACACTAAGATAACTTTTAAAACCATGAGTCCTGGAATTTGTTAGAGAAATTGGAAATGTTGAGTACCCTAAATAATAGTTTTCAGAAGCAGAACCCAAATATAGAATGCCATTAATAATTCTTATATATTTATATTTTCTTCCAGGTACTGATAAACCTTAGTCTCTTTCCAAAATGTATTTAACAACCTAACTTTCATCCACATTATTAAATTTACAATTTTTCTCAATTTTGAATTATAATGTTAAATAGTTTCATGTTATTTCATAAAAACCAAATAGACCAAAGAGTAGTTTGAAAGCTGGGCATGGTGGTTCATGCTTGTAATCCCAGCATTTTGGGTGGCTGAGGTGGGAGGATTGCTTTAGCCCAGGAGCTTGAGACCAGCCTGGGCAATGTGACAAAACCCCATCTCTACAAAAAATATAAAAATTAGCCAGGCATGGTAGCATGCACCTGTAGTCCCAGCTACTCAAGAGGCTGAGCTGGGAGGATCAGTTGAGCTTGGGAAGTCAAGGCCTGCAGTGAGCCATGATTATGCCACCATACTCCAGCCTGGGTGACACAGTGAGACCCTGTCTCAAAAAAAAAAAAAAAAAAATCTGCCTTTCCAGCTTTTCAAGTAATGTCTTGGTATGAAAATCCAGAGGCCTGTACTTTATGACAACGTTACATATATGAGATCTTTTTTTTCTATCAATAAAGGTTTATATTTCAGATCTGTTTCCTTAAAAAAAAAAAAAAAAAGTCCGATATCTGAGCTGTTTGAACCAGTCCTGTGGAGGTGAAATTAGGCTGGGACTAGGCCATCCCTGTGACTAATCTAGACCCCCTACAGAGCCACACTTGTTCTCCGTTGGTGACAGCTTTTTCCCTTCTCAGGGTTACTTCGTGACAAGCTGGGCTCCTATGACGTGGCATTCTACCTCGCTGGAGTCCCTCCCCTTATTGGAGGTGCTGTGCTTTGTTTTATCCCATGGATCCATAGTAAGAAGCAAAGAGAGATCAGTAAAACCACTGGAAAAGAAAAGATGGAGAAAATGTTGGAAAACCAGAACTCTCTGCTGTCAAGTTCATCTGGAGTGTTCAAGAAAGAATCTGACTCTATTATTTAATATCTTACATACCTCCACCAGACTGGACTTGCTTTTTGAATTTTAAGCAAGTTTCCTTTCCTTTTATACGAATTGCAAATTTCATATTTTTTTAATCACATCCTAGGAATAGCACAATAATTGGGAAATAGAACCCTTATCACTATAAGAACCATTTTCTGCCACTGAATATCTCTGATGTTTCCGTGAGTCTGAGGGCAGAGACCCCAGTATATGAAAACATGTCTGAAAGTCACATATTGTGAAAATTTGAAGCTATCTCAGTAAAAAGCAACTTTGGAAACTGTGAATGATCTTTAGCTTGTACAAACATTTAAAAATACCTCAAGCTATACTGAAAGGGTTGCAGTTTGGTTAGGAGTGGAAGTATTTTGTTTGTTAATGATGTCTTCAGTTCTGGTACCTCTGTTTTACTTTCTTATGCTCTGTGGAAACTTTTTGCAAAATTTAAGCCTGGGTTCTAGGTAATACCAGATGTACCGAAACCTCCAGTCTGTGTTAAAGTTGCTCTCCTGCTGTTCAATAAGCTATGATATTAAGATATTCTGACTTGCTCCGGTGTCAAGGGACCTTCGGGGAGCAGGTGCTAACAATGTGTTCAGAATCAATACGTGAAATGAAAAGGATCCTCTCCAGGAGGATCCTGAGCTGTTCAGAAATCATTTAAGTTTACAGCATTGTTCCCTTTGCGTTTGCAGTGTGTTTTACTCAAGTAGCCAGAAACACCCCACGTTTCTGAATTGTTTAAATTGTAACAATAAAGTAAAATAGAATGCATGAAAGATATTCTGGCAATTGTAACTTAGAAATCTTCTGACTTCCAGATTTGTTAGCACTAGAACCTGATATTTAAACAAAGTCTTACTTAGCAGTTATCAAGTGGCAGTTACAGGCAGAAATTGGTGGAGGCCGGAGGATGGGGAGGGGGGCAGAACCCTTTATATTTGTGAAGAAAATATCTGTAGCTGATAGAAATAATTGCTTAAATTGGTTTATGAAATTAATGAGTCTGAAAAGGTTAAAAGTACTTATAAAAAGAACCAAGTCCTACATTTCCAGAACTTTCTGGCAAAAATTTTCACTCATATTATTTATCCTAGTGTGTTCCCTAAGAACATTCCCATTATATTTTTGCTATTTATATACAGATTATCATAAGAAAGCTTTCAGTTTGAGGACCGAAAATTAAAACCAAAGTCATGTCGTGACCCATACTTATTTACAAAAACAAGAACACTTTCCTATATCCCTAAAATTATACTTTAATGCTTGAGACCTTTAAAAGGTAGTGCTTTTCATTGTGAAGACATTCAGCAACTTACTTTGTGATACACGCAGTTGTACCTTACCACTTCTAATAGTTTCATATTTCATATTCAGGGGACTTAGATAATTTGCCTGTGGATGGTTCTTTTGCAGGAAAAAAAAAAATCTACATTTTGACCATACTACCTTTTCATGTTCTTATTATAAGTTTTTAGAAAATGATTTCGGCCGGGCGCGGTGGCTCAAGCCTGTAATCCCAGCACTTTGGGAGGCCGAGACGGGCGGATCACGAGGTCAGGAGATCGAGACCATCCTGGTTAACACGGTGAAACCCCGTCTCTACTAAAAAATACAAAAAACTAGCCGGCCGAGGTGGCGGACGCCTGTAGTCCCAGCTACTCGGGAGGTGGAGGCAGGAGAATGGCGTGAACCCGGGAGGCGGAGCTTGCAGTGAGCTGAGATCCGGCCACTGCACTCCAGCCTGGGTGACAGCGCAAGACTCCGTCTCAAAAAAAAAAAAAAAAAAGAAAATGATTTCATTCACTCATGTCCAGTTATATAAAACGTTACTTTCTCATTTTTGAGAAGTTCAACAAAACATACAACTAAGACCAATCATCAAACCCACTATTATAAATGTTAATTTTGGCTGGGTAAGGTGGCTTGTGCCTATAATCCCAGCACTTTGGGAGGCTGAGGAGGGAAGATCGCTTGAGCCCAGGAGTTTGAGACCGGCTTGGGCAATATAGCAAGATCCTGTCTCTACTAAAAATAAAAAAAAATTAGGCCAAGCGTGGCGGCTCATGCCTGTAATCCTAGCACTTTGACAGTCCAAGGCAGGGGGATCACTTGAGCCCAGAAGTTCAAGACCAGCTTGGGTAACATGAGACCGTGTCTCTACAAAATATTTAAAAATTAGCCAGGCATGATGGTGCGCACCTGTAGCCCCAGCTACTCAGAAGCTGAGGTAGTGGAAGGATTGCTTGAGCCTGAGAGATGGAGGCTGCAGTGAGCTATGCTGCTGTACTCTAGCCTGTTCAACTGAGCAGGACCCTGTCTGTAAAAGAAAATCAAAAACAAAAACTGTTAGTTTTTTAAAAAGTTTTAGGTCGGGCGCAGTGGCTCACGCCTGTAATCCCAGTACTTTGGGAGGCAGAGGCAGGTGGATCATGAGGTCAGGAGTTTGAGACCAGCCTAGCCGATGTGGTGAAACCCCGTCTCTACTAAAAATTAAAAAATTAGCTGGGTATGGTGACGTGTGCCTGTAGTCCCAGCTACTTGGGAGGCTGAGGCAGGAGAATGGCGTGAACCCAGGAGGTGGTGCTTGCAGTGAGCAGAGATCACGCCACTGCACTCCAGCCTGGGCGATAGAGTGAGACTCCATCTCAAAAAAAAAAAAAAGTTTTAGCACAGACACCCCTTAAAACACCTTCTCCCCAATTTCATAGAAAGTAATTCAAAAATGAAAACTTACCTCTGTAAAGACCTCTACAATGTTTTTTTTTCCTTCAAAATTTGGCTGATTTTAGGGAAAAAGATAATCTGAAACTAAAAGAAATTGCTTGGTTAGTTTCCATATTAAAATAGCAGTGACTTAAGTATATATAATATAACTTAGATCTCAGCATATGTATTTGTATATTAAACTTCACATATGTAGTTTTCGGTTTAATGGAATGAATCAGACTGGATCTATAACACTGAAAAAGCTCTATTGTCAAAGACTCATATGAATACTCTGCTATAATAATATAAAATTAAGAAGAAAAAGTATAAAGGTAAGATGCTAAACTCCATAAATACATATTTAATACTATTTGTGGGAAAAGATTTAAAGTTTAAAATACACAAAGAAAATGAAAAATACTAATATAAAAATTTGTGGTTTAATCTAGTCAAGCTAAGTCCTAATTTCTGAATGAAGTGTTACTGCTGCAAAAATGTGACCTGATAAGCCTAAATTTTTTGTGTTCAATCCAGACACGTTTCTGAGAGTCTGAAAAGAATACAGAGTCAAAACTCTGCTTTTGTCTCCTCATCCTGTTTTTGATAAGACTCAGAAAATTCTCAAATTCAAAATGTTCTGGCATTTGAGGCCAAGAAAAGTGTGAAAGGGAGTAACATTCCTTGTTATAGAAACTCTAGATTGGATAATAATGTAACAGATGGCCAAGAAACTTCCAGAAACATTTTGGTTAAATTTGATTGCCATGAATATTGCTGGGATCCATCCATTTAAGCAGTAATATACCACCCAGATTATTGATACTTTATGCAAGATGTGTTCATCCCTTTGATCATATTTACAATGCTTATTCCATAGCCCTGCTATACGACTTGTAATTTCCACTGAAAATTGCATAAATCGTGTATTAAGATTCAAATTCTAGCCGGGCACGGTGGCTCACACCTGTAATCCCAGCACTTTGGGAGGCCGAGGCGGGCGGATTGCCTGAGTTCAGGAGTTCACAACCAGCGTGGGAAACACGGTGAAACCCCGTCTCTACTAAAATACAAAAAATTAGCCAGGCATGGTGGTGGGCGCCTGTAGTCCCAGCTATTCGGGAGGCTGAGGCAGGAGAAGAATCTGGGAAGCGGAGGTTGCAGTGAGCTGAGATTGTGCCACTGTACTCCAGCCTGGGCGACAGAGCGAGACTCTGTCTCAGAAAAAAAAAAAAGTAAAAGTACACATCGTTTAAAAGCAATTTACTTCGGATGATTCTAATCCTTTTAGCTGCATTTAAGAATATTTTAATTTATACCAATGTTACTCTAAATTGGCTTATGTCCAGATGACTTTTGACATTAAATCAATGGAAAACTGAATAGAAAATATGACATGAGATTGTGGGGGGAAGGCCACCTATAGCATGGGTGGCTCTGAGGAGTTCCTGGTGGTGCACTTTCATGCCCTTTCTTATGTACCTGTTGTCTTACTCTTCTTACATTATTCTTATCCTCATCATTTTTTCATTTCCCTTTACTTCCTCCTGTCCTTCAAAAACCTCCTGAAGAGTTCATTAACATCCATGCTTAGCTCCACTGGTTGCGTGGCTGTACTTCCTACTGATCCCTGCAGTTTCACTGAATGGATCCCCACCCAATTTCGTGTATCCTGGAGAATGGCTTTCTCTCAGTCTTCAACTTAGTTCTAATAGTCTACATTGAATTTTAATTTTAAATTACATGACTAAAATATTTAAGGGAAGAAATAAATTTCATAAAAATTAGTATCTTTTATGCTAACATTTGAAACTTTATTTAAAATTTTAAGGTAAATGCTTCGAGGAAAAAAAAAAAACATTGCCAAGTCCTTAGCATATTTTCAGAGAGCATAATTTTTTACTTTGACTTCCAGTTTCGCTAAGATTTCATTAAATCTTATTCCTGAGAGCCCAGCATGAAGGGTGACTGGGAATGTAGTGTACCTCTCTGATGCAGTTCCTAATGATTGTTCTTCAGGAACCTTCCTTAGGTTGGGTTACATTTTCTGGTGAATGGTGTTAGAATAAATTCCCAGAGTTTAGAGATACAAGTAGAAATGCATAAGCTAATTAGCTCCAATTTTATAATATGTAAACAATTTAAACTAGTATTTAAAACTTTTTAGGAAGTCTCTAACACTGAAAAAAGGTATTGTTGCTGGTATAAACATTAAGGAGCAACTTTTACGTTAGGTCAAAGATTGTTGCTTTTCTAGTGTGTTGTCTTAAAAAGAGAAGGAAATGAAACTATTACCTTCTTTTTACATCTATGTTTTTATAATTTAAAAGGCAAGTAGTATCTTGGCGAATGAGAAATGCATCATCCCTAACAATTTAATTAAGTCTTAAAAAGACAAGCTTTTTGTCTTGTTATGAAAACAAAAGGCAATTTGTCATTCATAATGGTAATGTGGAATAAGAATACATCATAGAAGGAAGACTTGCTACTTTACTGACTTAATCATTAGTTCTAAGGCTACGTGTGGGGGCCCACGCCTGTAATCCCAGCACTTTGGGAGTCCAAGGCGGTAGGATCACCAGACCCCAGGGTTTAAGACTCAGCCGGGGCAACATAGTGAGATTTTGTTTCTACAAAAAGAAATTTAGCCAGCGTGGTGGCACACGCCTGTAGTCCCAGCTACTCAGGAGGCTGAGACAGGAGGATCGCTTGAGCATAGCAGGTCAAGGCTGCAGTGAGCCGTGGTTGCACCACTGCACTCCAGCCTGGGTGACAAAATGAGACCTTGTCTAAAAAAAGAAAAAAAAAATTAGTTCTACTCTACTATACATGCTGATTTTTGTTGATAGCTTGGTCTAAAAAGACTGTCTAGAGCTGAATTTCCAGGGGCAAATAATAACAAGGTAGATAAACAGGCCCTGGGCTCACTATACTTTCATAGCCATGACATGTTTATTATTAGTGGGCAGAGATTAATGCTGTGTGTTATAAATATACTATAGAGCAATAGGTCACGATTCTTAAGAACAAAGGGCTGAATGCTCACAGTGAAGTGTGAAGCTTACATAAATGTCAGAACCACAATTATGGACCTATCATCAATGTGCATTTTATCAGAAGATGACTCCTGAGACAGTAAAGACCCATGGAAAATTCATTACATCTTTGAATCACTCAGAAAAACCTTGAAACTTAGGACGTAGTTTACTTAGCTCGCCTTTTTTAAAATTATCAAATTTTAAATCATAAACTTCATCTTCACTTCCACACGTTCAAGGGCACCTCTTTTAAAGTTCAATGTACCATACTAAAGGGGTGCAATCTTGCTTTCTGGGGAAATAAAATTCCCCATGGTACTATATTCCTGACAGATATAAAATAACATGAGGCTACCTCATTTTTGAAATGGATTTCAATATTTTTATTAGTAAGTTGGAAAGACAGTAAGAACAAAATAAAACCTAAGTACCTGATGACACCCACTTGATCATGACAATTCATCTACCTCCGCTTTCCGTGTCCAGCTGAAAGCCCAGCTAAAAGCACAGCTGAATCAACTCCTGCTTCATCAAAAGGGAGCTAATGGTGATGCTAGGATTGAAAAGCAAGAGGTTGTAAAATGTTAGTGGGGTCAAAGTATCAGTAAAATTTCTTGAGTGCTTTGTTCTGATAAACGGTTGTAAAAGTAACAAAAAAGGAATAACAACTAATATGGCCTGTGGATCTGACAAAGAAAAACCTGAAGAAATTCAGAATCTAGATACACTTAGATCCTAAATTAGACCCACTCAGATTCTAATGAACACTTAGAATGCTTCGCCAGTGGCTTTTCAAGTTACATTGGAAGCTTGATTATGAAAAAGTTCTGTTTTCATTGGCAACAGGGTAGATAATCAGTGATGCACAGATTGTACAGCTGTGCCTGAACCTTACAACTTACACATTAAACTCCTGTAAGAGACACTCCTTCCTAGTAGAACAAGGACTGGGACTATGAGTTTTTGACTCGCTGGAGTTTTTTAAAATGCTGTTCTTGAGTGTGGCAATAGTGTAGGAGTTAACCCAGTCTACCTAAAGAAGTTGCTTTGCCTTTCAATATGAGTGCTTTAAGAAGAGTATTTTGGAGTTGAATGTCCCTAAACATGTATGCGATAGGAACTACTAATATAAAATAACACTTAGGACTCAAATTAGATCTGTAATACTATTGTGGAGCCTGATGTATGACTTTTATTCTTTACTAGATATTTTTCAGTATCTGTCATTAGAAGAATCAGTTTGTTAAATATTTTAAATGTGTAAACACATAAAACCTTTCTACTGTGATCTCCCCTAATGAGTCAAAGTATCTTTCATAATTCAGTCTATATTGAAATGTTATTTCAGGAATGGAGGGCTTGTTATTAATAGTGCTGGGCCGGGCACGGTGACTCATGCCTGTAATCCCAGCACTTTACGAGGCCGAGGCGGGTGAATCACCTGAGGTCGGGAGTTGGAGACCAGCCTGACCAACACGGAGAAACCCCGTCTCTGCCAAAAATACAAAACTAGCCAGCCGTGGTGGCTCCATGCTGTAATCCTAGCTACTCGGGAGGCTGAGGCAGGAGAATGGCGTGAACCCGGAGGCGGAGCTTGCAGTGAGCCGAGATCGCGCCACTGCACTCTAGCCGGGGCGACAGAGCAAAACGCTGTCTCAAAAAAAAAAAAAAAAAAGTGCTGTATTTTGACCCTGGACTATGAACAGACTGTATAGTTGGTGCCTCTTTTTTTTTCTACCAAAGATTATTAAATCAAGATTGGTGCTATACTTCATGTTCCTTTCAAAATTATTTTTCTTTTAAAAATATTAATATGCAGCCGGGCGCGAGGGCTCACACCTGTGATCCCAGCACTTTGGGAGGCCGAGGCGGGCGGATCACGAGGTCAGGAGATTGAAACCATCCTGGCTAACACAGTGAAACCCCGTCTCTACTAAAAATACAAAAAACTAGCCGGGCGAGGTGGTGGGCGCCTGTAGTCCCAGCTACTCCGGAGGCTGAGGCAGGAGAATGGCGTGAACCCGGGAGGCGGAGCTTGCAGTGAGCTGAGATCCGGCCACTGCACTCCAGCCTGGGCGACAGAGCGAGATTCCGTCTCAAAGAAAAAAAAAATTAATATACAACACAATCGAAAATGTATACATACATGACTGAGGAAAAAAGCTCACCTATACAGTGATTATTGAGTTCCAGTATATACTTAGAAGTATGCAATTTTTGTTAACATGTAAGGCTTGAAAAGCAAGGGGGTGAAATTATGAAACTCACAAGAAAATGATCACCAAATGAAAACGTTCTAATGAACACAACCTCCCAAGGTAATAACTTTAAAGAGAAAGTCCCTTGTCAATGTTTCTAACACAAAGTGAGCGATTCAAATATATTCTGTAACTTTGAGGCAATGTGAAAAAAATTATATATAATTGCTTCCTATTGAGCTTGCTTATGCAGACATTTGGACATTTGAAGATGTTTCGCAATTTTCAGGCTAAAATCAGAGTTTTGAGAGTCATCAATCTTAAAACATGGATAATGAGTTACTTGCACAGTTATATTTTTATAATTATTTGAAACTTCTCACTGAAAGTATCATTGTTCGTCTTTCAGATTTAACATAAACAATTAATAAGTACTACGGCTGGGTCAGTGTCAGCAAATCTCAGATCTGTGATTTATCAAGCACCATCGTTGGTCTGATTGTGTAACACGTAAAATTACATATGGGTCTCCTTGGCCAGGCGCTGTGGCTCACACCTGTAATCCCAACACTTTGGGAGGCCGAGGCAGGTGGATTGCTCAAGGCCTGGAGTTTGAGACATAAGGGTCTCCTTAATGTTCTGTAGGTAGGATTCAGATGAATTGAGAATGACAGGTCTTTCTTTTCTTTTTCTTTTCCTTTTTCTCTTTCTTTTCTTTTCTCTTTTTACTTTTCCTTTCTCTCTTCTCTTCTCTTCTCTTTTCTTTCTTGGAGTCTCGCTCCAATGCCAGGCTCCAGTGCAGTGGCACGATCTCAGCTCACTGCAACCTCTGCCTCCCGGGCTCAAGCGATTCTCGTGCCTCAGTCTTCTGAGCAGCTGGGACTACAGGTGCCCACTACCACACCGGCTAATTTTGTATTTTTAGTGGAGATGGGGTTTCACCATGTTGGCCAGACTGGCCTTAAGTGATCCACCTCTCTCGGCCTCCCAAAGTGCTGGAATTACAGGCGTGAGCCACCATGCCCAGCTAGAGAATGACAGGTTTCAGTTGAATTCTTCTCTCTTTTAAAGACCCTGACTTAAAATCCAGTATACTGGATTTGCTCTGGTAACTAATGATAACACTTTTCTACATTAACATGAGTTATATTTGGAAGAGAGAATGGAAGCTTGCTAATCATTACATTAGAGTGAGATTAAGCATCACTCTAATAGTAACTTCTGATGTAACTTAATGTGGTTTGAGATGTGTAAGATTGTAAAGGCATTGCACAATGCTTGATAAAAGTTGCATTTTGCTTTTCTTCTTCCACCAGTTTATTTTAGCCTTAAAGTTATAGCTACAACAAACTGAACCTTGTAGTATTACTAAGAGAGAGTGTGGATATTTTAAGTATCTCCTAGTATAATATGACATTGCTCATGTGGACTTATTTTAATGTTTATTTGAAAATTACTTTTTTAATTATTTTGTATATTTGAAAGTTAGAAAAACACACTTTATCTTAGACATCAAAGCCAAATTATTCCAAGTGTATGCTATACACCACAGTGCAGCTCTGCTTCTCTCCCTACCTACACCGGGGCCATTTTTGGCACAATAGTTCAAATGTAGATCACTATGCTGAATGATTGTGCTGGATTTGACCAGTATGCAGTATTTTAGTACTTTTTAAAAAATGTATGTTTCTTTTTGAAGGCTACAATTTACAATTTTTTTTTATAATGTGCAATTTAATATAGATAACCAAAACCTTTTTAATGAAAAGATCTTTACAATGGCTTGGAGGATAATGTGATACTCTCAGTAAATGCAATAAAAACATTTTAGCAAATTCCTATAAGGCTTCATGATTATGTTTATGGAATTCTCTGGAGGGTGGGGGAAGGGAAATTACTGAAATGAAGGAAATAGTTTGTGTTGAATAAAAGAAATAAGCTGTGTGCTTTTTACATTGCATATCTGTATTCTACATGCGTTTGGGTATTGTTATTTCCCTGGAGCAGGGAACAGGGATAGAAATGATCCAAAAGCTTTAGACGGTCTAAAAACCATTTCTATTTGATGCTTCCTTCTTTTTGTAGCTGACTTACATTACCATTTTCTTACATTGATTAAACTTATCAAATTCAGATGATACTCAGTGAGCTTCTACTGAGCGACAATTTTAGGGGCTAGTCAAGAACCAGGCTGGAAATTAAAAAGCAGTCCCATTACTGTGGATTGCTTGCTTGGATAAAAACTGACTCTGGCGTCAGAAGATGTTTATGATTTGATGAGCCTTAACTACAAAGCAAATCGTTATTTATGTTTAATAGTACTAATGAGATTTAATACATTAAACTCAAGAACTTGGCATTTGTGATATGTCATTTAATCCAAAAAGTATTTACATGTCAGAATGTGCAGGCCATTAGAAGACCTTTGAGGGAACTGAGGAGAGAACAGATACAACCAATTGTTACTGATGTTAAGCAGGATAACATTCATTCTCCTGAGGACTTTTTTTTTTTTTTTTTTTTTTTTTTTTTTTTTTTGAGATGGAGTGTCTCTCTTGTCACCCAGGCTGGAGTGCAATGGTGTGATCTTGGCTCACTGCAACCTCTGCCTCCTGGATTCAAGTGATACTCCTGCCTCAGCCTCCCAAGAAGCTGGGATTATAGATGCCCACCACCATGCCCGGCTAATTTCTACATTTTTAGCAGAGAGGGGGTTTCACCATGTTGGCCAGGCTGGTCTCGAACTCCTGACCTCAGGTGATCCATCAACCTTGGCCTCCCAAAGTGTGAGATTACAGGCATGAGCCACCACGCCCGGCCAGAAAATAATTTTTATAGAAAAAAAACAGAAGAATCCTAATTTATACAGAAAACCCAATTTAAGAGACATACCAATTATCATAGTATCAGCCTTTTAGGACTGGAAGTTCTCTTCTCAGAGTCTCCTATAGATGAACCTAATACTTTTTAAATTCAGGAGTTCTTTTTATAAATCTTTAAATCAGAGTCACCAGTGTTTTATTCCAGAGATAGGAAGCTCACCACCCTACATGGTGGTCCCCTCCACAGCTGGGCCCTCTGCTTATCTTTCTTACCCCATTCAGCTCTACCACCTTCTAGTGTCTGTGTCACAGTTATCTGTGGACCCCCTTGGTCATTCTCATATTATCTATCTGTTACTCCAGCAAATGGCTTTTGGTTCAAGGCTCAGTATTCATGGGGAGCAACTTTATTTCCACTAATTTAACAGAGACACTTGGAGCCTTGTCATCTCTGGAAATGGCTTCATCTTTGAAATCTCAAATACCAACGCTCCTGCCTCTTACCAAAACTTCCCACGTCTTTCCAGTTTTTACTTTGTTTCCTCCTTAATCCTAACCCTACGATCTACAAAACCGCAACCTCGCCCCACCGCCCCACAGTACTCTGCTTACTATTGCCCCTATACCTTTCCTTTTCCAAATCAAATACTTCCAGCTTCTCCAACCATTTCTTCTCTTCATATTATCAATTTCTCCCTCTCTATTGGATCATTTCCACCAGCATTCCCATATATACATGCTATTATTTCTCTCATCTTGAAAAAAAAAAGACTTTTTAATTTTGTTGTCTTTTTTTTTTTTTTTTTTTTTTTTTTTTTTGAGATGGAGTCTCACTCTATCACCCAGACTGGAATACAATGGCGTGGTCTCGGCTCACTGCAACCTCCGCCTCCCAGGTTCAAGCTATTCTCCTGCCTCAGCCTCTCAAGTAGCTGGGACTACAGGCACCTGCCATCATGCGGCCAGCTAATTTTTGTATTTTTAGTAGAGACGGTGTTTCACTATGTTGGACAGGCTGGTCTCAAACTCCTGACCTCGTGATCCACCTGCCTCGGCCTCCCAGAGTGCTGAGATTACAGGTGTGAGCCACCGCACCTGGCCTTGTTATCATTTTTTATAGAGACAGGGTCTCGCCATGTTGCTTAGGCTGGTCTTGAACTCCTGGACTCAAGCAATCCTCCCATCTCAGCCTCCCAAAGTTCTGGGGTTACAGGCATGAGCCGCCGTGCCCAGCATTGCATCACTTTTTTCTATCCATTCACAAAAGACTAAATAACCAAATTCTTTTTCCTGAAAAAATGTATATTTACTATCTCCCATTTTATCTTGTATTCTCTTTTGATTCCACTCTATCAGGATTTTGCCCCTACCACTCCACTGAAACTGCCCTTCTCATCACTAGGTTACCACTGACCTCCACAATCACTAAATCCAATAGTCATTTTTCAGTCCTCATTTTATTTGAATTATCTAAAGTATTTGGTACAATATATCAATTCCTGATCTCTGAATCAGGCTTCCAGGACACCTTATTTACCTGGTTTTTCTCCTTTCTTTCTTTCTTTTTTTTTTTTTTTTTTTGAGACGGAGTCTCGCTCTGTCACCCAGGCTGGAGTGAAATGGCCGGATCTCAGCTCACTGCAAGCTCCGCCTCCCGGGTTCACGCCATTCTCCTGCCTCAGTCTCCCGAGTAGCTGGGACTACAGGCGCCCGCTGCCTCGCCTGGCTAGATTATTTTTGGATTTTTTAGTAGAGACGGGGTTTCACCGTGTTAGCCAGGATGGTCTCGATCTCCTGACCTCGTGATCCGCCCGTCTCGGCCTCCCAAAGTGCTGGGATTACAGGCTTGAGCCACCGCGCCCGGCCTCTCCTATCTTTCTAGCCACTCTTTTACTGGGTCTTACTCATCTTCAAACCTCTAAATATTGGGAGGCCATCAGGGCCTAGTTCTTGAACCCCTTCTCTTTTTTATCCCTATTCACTGCCTACATGATCTCGTCCTATCTCATGCCTTGAATTACTACCTAGATGCTGATGAAGCCCAAACTTCCCCTTTGAACTCCAGAGCCTTCTATCTGCGACTAAACATCTCTTGTTCTGCAAGCAAATCCTACAGGCTCTGCTTCCAAAATATACCCAGAATTTCTCCACTTCTCACTATCACCACTGACACCACTTTGATCCAAGCCATCATGTTCTCTTTTGTTCTTCGTTCTTCTACTTCCCCTCAGTGTTTTCTCTACACAGCAGCCAGCATGATCCTGTCAAAACAAGTCAGATGAAATCAGCCCCTTTGCTTCCTGTGGCTCCCTTTATCCCTCACAGAAAACCAAAATCCTTACCATGACCAGCACAGCTCCACATGTTCTGGTCCCTGCTACGTCTCTGACCTTATCTCCTGCTCTCTCCTGTTTCACTCTGGCCTCTCTCCACTTCCATCCTTGTATCACCGCCCCTGCCTGGGGTGCTCTTCCCCGTTATCCTCTTCGATTGCTCCCTTACCTCCTTCAGGTCTACTCAAAAGTCCCCTCTGTGAGGTGAAAGACCTTTACAAGGAAAACTACAAAACACTGCTGAAAGAAATATAGACAACACAAGCAAATGAAAACACATCCCATGCTCATGGATGGGTAGAATCAATATTGTGAAAATGACCATTCTGCCAAAAGCAATCTACAAATTAAATGCAATTCCTATCAAAATACCACCATCATTCTTCACAGAATTAAAAAACAGTCCTAAAATTCATATGGAACCAAAAAAGAGCCTGCATAGCCAAAGGAAGACTAAGAAAAAAAAAAAAAAAAATCTGGAGGCATTACAGGCATTACATTACCTGACTTCAAACTCTACTAAAAGGCCAGAGTCACCAAAACAGCATGGTACTTGTATAAAAACAGGCATATAGACCAATGGAACAGAATACGGAACCCAGAAATAAAGCCAAATACTTATAGTCAACTGATCTTCAACAAAGCAAAAACGTAAAGTGAGGAAAGGACACCTTATTCAACGAATGGTGCTGGGATACTGGGCAAGCCACATGTAGAAGAATGAAACTGGATTCTGATCCCTCACCTTATACAAAAATCAACTCCAAATGGAAAATGGATCAAAGACTTAAATCTAAGACCTGAAGCCATACAAATTCTAGAAGATAACATTGGAAAACATTCTAGACATTGGCTTAGGCAAAGACTTCATGACCAAGAACCGAAAAACAAACCCAATAAAAACAAAGATAAATAGATGGGACTTAAACTAAGAAGCTTCTGCACAGCAAAAGAAACAAACAGCAAAGTAAACAGACAACTTACAGAGTAGGAGAAAATCTTCGCAATCTATGCATCTGACAAAGGACTAACAGCCAGAATCTACAAGGAACTTAAACAAATCAGCAAGAAAAAAACAAATAATCCCATCAAAAAGTGGGCTAAGGACATGAATAGACAATATCAAAAGAAGATATACAAATGGCCAACAAACATACGAAAAAATGCTCAACATCACTAATGATAGGGTAATGCAAATCAAAACCATGATGTGATACCACCTTACTCCTGCAAGAATGGCCATAACAACAACAACAACAACAAAATAATGGAGTTGGCATGGATGTGGTGAAAAGGGAACACTTTTACACTGTTGGTGGAAATGTAAACTAGTACAACCTCTGTGGAAAACAGTGCAGAGATTCCTTAAAGAACTAAAAGAAGATTTACCATTTGATCCAGTAATCCCTCACCTGGGTATCTACCCAGAGGAAAAGAAGTCATTACACAAAAAAGATACTTGCACACGCATGTTTATAGCAGCACAATGTACAACTACAAAAATATGGAATCAGCCTAAATGGCCATCAAGCAACAAGTAGATAAAGAAAATGTGGTCTATATATACCATGAATACTACTCAGCCATAAAAAGGAACAAAATAATGGCATCTGCAGCAACCTGGATGGAATTGGAGACCATTATTCTAAGTGAAGTAACTCAGGAATGGAAAACCAAATATCACATGTTCTTAGTCATAAGTGGGAGCTAAGCAATGACGACACAAAGGCATAAGAATGATACAATGGACTTTGGGGACTCAGGGCAAAGGGTAAGAGTGGGGTAAGGGATAAAGGACTACACATTTGGTACAGTGTATACTGCTTGGGTAACGGGTGCACCAAAATCTCAGAAATCACACTAAAGAGCTTACTCATGTAACCAAACACCACTTCTTCCCCAAAACTCCATTGAATCTTTTGTTTCTTTTTTTTTTTTTTGAGACGGAGTGTCACTCCGTTGCCAAGCTGGAGTGCAGTGGCACGATCTCAACTCACTGAAAACTCCGCCTTCTGGGTTCAAGCGATTCTCCTGCCTCAGCCTCTCGAGTAGCTGGGAATACAGGTGTGCACCACCACACCCAGCTAATTTTTGTATTTTTAGTATAGATTGGAGTTTCACCATATTGGTCAGGCTGGTCTCAAACTCCCAACCTCAGGTGATCCACCCACCTTGGCCTCCCAAAGTGCTGGATTACAAGCGTGAGCCACTGCACCCAGCCACATTTTTTTTTAAGTCTCCTCTATTAAGCCTCCCCTGATCATCTAAAATTTAATCCCCTTCAGCAGGCAATTCATATCCCCCTTCCCAACTTAATTTTTTTCTTCTTAGTAGTTATCACTAGCATACCATTTATTTTCTTTCTTTCTTTTTTTGAGACAGGGTCTCACTCTGTTACCTAGGCTGGAGGGCAGTGGTGCAATCGTGGCTTACTGCAGCTTCCATCTTCTGGGCTCCAGTGATTCTCCCACCTCAGCCTCCTGAAACACAGGGACTACAGGTATGTGCCATGCTGGCTAATTTTTTTAATTTTTAATTTTTGGTAGAGATGAGGTCTCATTATGTTGCCCAGGCTAGTCTTGACCTCCCGGCCTCAAGTGATCCTCCCACCTTGACTTCCCAAAGTACTGAGATTACAGGCATGAGCCACTATGGCTGGTCTTATTTATTTATTTTTTGTTTGTTTTTGGGTTTTCCTTGAGACAGGGTCACACTCAGTCACCCAGACAAAAGTGCAGTGGCTTGATCACAGCTCACTGCAGCCTCAAACCCCTGGCTTCAAGGGATCCTCCCACCTCAGCCTCCTGAGTAGCTGGGACCACAGGCATGTACCACAAAGCCTGGCTAATTTTTTGACTTTTTGTAGAGACAGAGTTTCACTGTATTGCCCAGGCTGAACTTGACCTCCTGGGCTCAAGTGATCCTCCCACCTGGGCCTCCCAAAGTGCTGGGATCCCAGGTATGAACCACCATGCACAGTTTATTTATCTTTATTGTCTCCCCAGCTAGACTGTGAGTTCCACAAAGGTAGAGCTTTTTGTCTGTTTTAGCATTTCATCTCCAACATTTAGAAAAGTGCCTGGCACAGAGTAAGTGCTCAACGAGGATTTTTTGAATAAATGAATGGTTTCCAAACTTGTCAGTATGAACATGTTGACTTTATTTTAGTGCTTTTAGGGATTTCCCTAGAAAACTTAGCCAGTGCAACTCAGCCAGTGCAGCTGGAGTGAGTCCACAGTATCAGTGTTGAATCAGGGAGAGCTTGGCTGGCATGGCTGCTCCAGGGCCAAGGAGAAGGCCACATAATTGGGAGGTTAAGTCTATTTACAGGGGCTTGAACAAATAAGTAAATATACTGAGGAAAATGGGAGCCAGGTTTCTCACTATTGGAGTAGGGAGGTACATATGTGGAAGGTGTAAAGTGAATAAACACTATGGTGATGGATTGGAATTAAATGTGGAGTGTGTGTGTGTGTAGTCATGCATATGTTTCCTAACTCTGTCCATAGACAGTGTCTAGAAGCAATGACACTACAGTGACAACGCTGCGTATACCTCCATATTCAACAGCAGAGACTCAGAGGACGGATACTTCACTAAAGAGAACTCCTGTAAAAATTTTCAACCTAAAATAGAATGCTAGCATAATGGAACTGAAGGGACACTCATGGAAAGCCTACAGTGCCTTCTAATCTTACAGAAATGAAAAGTTCATCTTGAGACATTAAACAAGAAGAAAAAAATGCTCATACTTTATCATTACAGACTATATCCCTTTAGACTACATTTATGGGTATTTATGGAAATGATTTGTAGAAGTGCTACACATACTATTCTGCAACATGCTTTTTTCACTTCAGACTTACAACATCTTTCTATGTCATATCCTTTATGACTTTTTTTTTTTTTTTTTTTTTTTTGGTTAGTGATAAAAACGAAAATCAAATCAAACTGGTTTAAGAAAAAGAGTGAAAAGTCCAGGTGCTTTCTTTTTGGTAGGCATTGTTCAAGGGACCTCTTTCCCACAACTCCAGGCTATCCTTTGTATCAACTCTAGCAGATGAGAAAGAACTTCCCTTTTCCAGTCTTTTGGATAAAAAGTCCTGGGATCAAAATGCTCTGGTCTAACACAGGTCAGGTGCCCATCTCAGAACCCATCACTGAGCCAGGAGTCAGGAGATGCTGACTCAACAGACACGAATCATGCCGCCCTGAGGCGGGGTAATGACTAACTCACTTCACGAAATGAGAAGAGGAAGGGTGGTGGTCCCTTCAAAGAAAACTAGGGTCCTGTTGCCTGGAAAAGTGAATGGATTCTGTGCAGAAAAATAGCAGAAGTTTACTACATGTGTCATTCAGTATAATTCTACATCATTATTTTGATGGTTTCCACAGTTATCCCATGAAATGGATGAATCTTTAATTTGTAGTAACTCTATCGTTGAACATGTAGATTTGTTTCCTGTTTCACAGTGATAAACACCACTGCTATGAACACTCTAATAGATAAATCTTTATGCTCATCTTTATTTCCTTTAGGCAAAATTCCTAGTGGTAGAATTTCTGAGTAGAAAGGTTAGTATTTTTGCCTTTACTGTGTTTTGCCAAGTTGCATTACTATATGCTTTCTCTGAATCTTCATAATATTATATAGTTATTTTTTAATTATAGAGACTGAACGGTTTATATACTTTAAAAAGCCTTCATTTAAAAATTGCACTGGGGTTTTTTTTTTTTTTTTTGAATTGCAGTAAATATACATAAGATTTACCATTTTATATAACTTTTTTTTTTTTTTGAGATGGGTTCTCACTATGTTGCCCAGGCTGGTCTTGAACTCCTGGGCTCAAGCAACCCATTTGCCTTGGCCTCCCATCAAGTGCTGAGATTATAGGCGTAAGCCACCATGCCCAGCTAAACTGGGTAATTTATTGTTTTATTATTATGATTTTGAGACAGAGTCTTGCTCTGTCACCCAGGTTGTAGTGCACTGGCACAATCTTGGCTCACTGCAGCTTCTGCCTCCCGGGCTCAAGCGATCCTCCTGCCTCAGCCTCCTGGTGGCTGGGATTATAGGTGCCCGCCACCGTGCCCGGCTAATTTTTTTTTTTTTTAATTTTAGTAGAGATGGGGCTTCAGCATATTGGCCAGGCTGGTCTCGAACTCCTGACCTCAGGTGATTCACCTGTCTTGGCCTTCCAAAGTGCTGGGATTACAGGCATGAGCCACCGCGCCTGGCCTAGACTGGGTAATTTATAAACAATAGAAATGTATTGCACACAGTTCTGGGGGCTGAGCAGCCCAAGGTCAAGTCACCAACAGATTGAGCATCTGGTAAGAGCTTGCCTTCCCTGCTTCAAAGATGACACCTTGTTGAGTTCTCACATAGTGGAAGGGCAAGCTAGCTCCTTTCAGTCTGTTTTATAAGGGTGCTGATCTCCTTCCTGAACACTCTACCCTCATAACTTAATCATCTCCTTAAGGTCCCGCCTCCTTTTTTTTTTTTTTTTTTTTTTTTTTTTTTTTTGAGACAGAGTCTTGCTCTGTCACCCAGGCTGGAGTGCAGTGGTATGATCTCAGCTCACTGCAACCTTGACCTCCTGGGTTCAAGTGATTCTTTTGCCTCAGCCTCCTGAGTAACTGGGATTATAGGCGTGTGCCACCACGTCCAGCTAATTTTTGTATATTTTAGTAGAGACAGGGTTTCACCATGTAGGCCAGGCTGGTCTCAAACTACTGACCTGAGGTGATCTGCCTGCCTTGGCCTCCCAAATTGCTGGGATTACAGGTGTGAGCCACCACACCTGGCCACCACCTCTTGATACTATCACACTGGTGATTAAGTATCAACATATGAATTTGGTGGGGGACACATTCAGACTATAGCACTGTCATTGCTGACGTGTTTAGATAGGCCTTCCCCACTCTTCTATATAAATACGTTCTTAAAACTCCTTCTGATATCTTTATGGCTTCATTTTTATAAATCCCTAAGTTATTATTTATTTTGACATATGGTATAAAGTAGAATTCTAACCATATTTTGAAAAGCACAATTGGGCGGCCAGGCGCTGTGGCTCACGCCTGTGATCCCAGCACTTTGGGAGGCCGAGGCGGGCGGATCACGAGGTCAGGAGATCAAGACCACCCTGGCTAACACCGTGAAACCCCATCTCTACCAAAAATACAAAAAATTAGCCAGGTGTGGTGGCGGGCGCCTGTAGTCCCAGCTACTCAGGAGCATGAGGCAGGAGAATGGCTTGAACCCGGGAGGCAGAGCTTGCAGTGAGCCGAGATCGCGCCACTGCACTCCAGCCTGGCAACAGAGCAAGACTCCGTCTCAAAAAAAAAAAAAAAAAAAAAAAAAAGTACAATTGGGCTGGGTGTGGTGGCTCACACCTATAATCCCAGCACTTTGGGAGACTGTGGCGGGCAGATAGCTTGGGCCCAGGAGTTCAAGACCAGCCTGGGCAACACAGTGAAATCTTGTCTCTACATAAGATAAAAAAAATTAGCTAGGTGTGGTGGTGTGCACCTGTTGTCCCAGCTACTAGGGAGGCTAAGGTGGGAGGATTGCTTGAGCCTGGGAGGCAGAGGCTGCAGTGAGCCAAGGTCATGCAACTGTACTCCAGCCTGGGTGGCAGAGCAAAAACCTGTCTTAAAAAATAATGGCCATTGAACAATGCAGGTGTTGGGGTCCCTACACTCCATGCAGTCAAAAATCCATGCATAATGTTTGACTCCCCCAAAACTTTAACTCCTAATAGCCTGTTATTGAGCAGAGCCTTACTGATAACATAAACAGTCAACTAACACATATTTTGTATACGTATCATATACTGTATTCTTAAAATAAGATAGAAAAAAGAAAATGTCATTAAGAAAACCTTTTTATGTTTTTGTTTTTAAGACAGGGTCTCGCTCTGTCACCCAAGCTGGAGTGCAGTGGCTCAATCATGGCTCCCTGCAGCCTTGACGTCCTGGGCTCAAGCAATCCTCCCTCCTCAGCCTCTTTTTTTTTTTGGTGGAGATGGGAGGTCTCACTATGTTGCCGAGGCTGGTCTCGAACTCCTGGGCTCAAGCAATCCTCTTGCCTCGACCTTCCAAAGTGCTGGGATTACAGATGTGAGCCACTGTGCCCAGCTACAAAAATCTTAAGAGAAAATGCATGTACAGTACTTCACTGTATTCATCAAAACCAAGTTCACATTGTCTGTTTACAAGATGAATCGTCTGTCTGAAATGATCAGCACCTGCGGCTCCAGACCTCAATCGAAGGTTCCTATCAAGGAATTCAGCTTTTTCTTGTGATACCATGACTTTTACCTGCTTCTTGGGTGCACTTCAGGCATCACTAATGGCACTTTGTATGGGTCCCGTGGTGTTATTCAAAGTTTACAGGATTGCACTTGTCAACTGAAGAACGATGGAGGTTCATACATTGGGAAAGGAGAGCTTTCTTATAAAGGGTTGCAGCTTGTAGGGTGGCCATTCTGACAGGCTGGGAAGCACAGCCTCCAGCCAGAAGCCAAAAACAGACACTTTGACAGGGAGAAGAGTAAGACAGAGATTTGCTGAACCAGGTGGCCAAATATACGTACTTAATAAGCTATAGGAAGAGTTATGAATATTTATGAAAGGAGAAACACACACATGCACAACAGAGCTTCACGTCTCTCCAAGGGACCCATGTTCAAAAAGTGGCAGTGTTAGCATGATCCAAGCGTAGAGTTTTTGGCCCTCTGATGTCAAGTGGTGAAGCAGACAACACGAAACCCTCTCTGCTCATCCTTGGTAGACTGGCCAGAACCACTCCGTGGACCCTGGTCTCTTATAAAGGAAGGAAAGCTTTGTCCAAACTGCCAAACGGAGGGGCAGCGACAGGTGGTTGGTGGCTATCAGTAGTGGAGTGAGTCTCTCAGAAGGGCTGGCTTCTCTGTAACCCTTACGGAAGAAAACCTACGGGCAGTTACAGCAGGAGCAGGTGTAATGAGGCCCCCATCTCGTCACAGCTGGAACTGAGTTTTGGCCGAGAGAGTCTGTTCAGTTGGTTGAGGGGCTTAGGATTTCATTTTTCTCACACTAAACACACACACAAAAATGCAAGAACTGAGAGAAATTACTTTTTACTTCAATGGAGTTTACTGGAGAGACGAACTGTGCAAGTGGAGATGACCGAGGAGCGTCACACAACATTTTGGGTGGATACTCACAACACTTGAGCCCACCATGACAGCAACGGGAGGCGGCTGCATAATTATTCCAGCAGTACAGTGTGTACTACAGTGAGTTGTACGCAGTTATGATTTAATACTGCATCTTCACATTTGTTTCCATTTCTCTGGACTGCCAATGGTGCCATGCGTAGTCTATGTTTGTGTGTGGAAATTTTGATACATTTTAACATTTTAATAATAGATTCGTGTATATTTTATGGTAGTAAATGATAAAAATAGACAAGTATGTACATATTTTTATGCATTGATGACATACCTAACATTTTCTTTTTTCCATATTTCTAGGCTATGTGGTTTGTCTGCAAGTTTTTTTATAATTGTTGCAAATATCCCCCCAAAATTTCCATATATTTATTGAAAAAAATTCACACATAAGTGGACTCATGCAGTTCAAACCTGTGCTGTTGAAGGGTCAACTGGATTTTTCCAGTTTTCTTGATACTAGTTACTACTCACTGAATAATTCATCTTCTCCTCCTTCCCCCAATCCAACAGTATATAATAGTTTTCTTCTATTTACAATGACAGAATGAATATATTTTTTCCTCCATCTCCCCCTCTCTTCTCTATCACCTGATTTTAGTAATATTATCCTTCTTCATGTTTACCTCTAATTATTTTACCTCTGTATTATTCCATATAATACTTATAACTCTGCTATTCATTTAATTAGCTTTAAGTAATAACTTTTGACCTCTAGTTATTAAAGATGAGGAATCAGTATACTTTATTTCATATATATAATTTTTTAATTGTTTAGAGATGGGGTCTTACTATTTTGCTCAGGCTAGTCTCGAATTCTTGAGCTCAAACAATCCTCCTGCCTCAGCCCCTCAAGTAGCTGGGATTACAGGCACATGCCGCTGTATCCAGCGAGGGGAAAAAATCAGTATATTTTCATCCTTTTCCATTCTTTGCTTTCCACCTTTCATTTGCTCTATCATTTCTACATCATCAGGGCTAATAACATTTAAATTCCATCTTTCAACCGTCATCCTCATATTTGTCTTTGTCCTGTGATTTGCATCAAAGCTCACTGCCAATCCCGTCTGCAATTGTTTCTCCACTCATCTCTTGGTCTGCTGAATCTTCTAACATTTCTCAAATGGATTTATGAAAATAATATTCCCAGAGTTCTTTCATGTTCAAACTATTTATCTTTTGTCTTTACACCTGAAAACATCTGGCTCACATTTTCTTTCTTCTGGGATTTTGTGGCCATTGCTCAAAAATCTTCCAGCATTGAAGTTTGCTATGGAAAAAGAC